GTTCCGAAAGTAATGTCGCTTTTTTCAAATAAACGCCACACCTCGTAAAACCAAGATTTATAAGAGATCTTGGAAGCATTTGATGCAGCAGTTTATCCTTTTTCTAATAATTCTAAATTCTTTGCATAATGTTCAATGAACTTTTGAAAACTTACCAAGATTTGCGATCCATGTTTTTTGGGATGGTCAAGTTTTAGGACTTTCCCTTGGGAGGAGATTGAGTTATGAGTAGATACAGCAAACCTTACACAAAACAGCACAATTCTTTTCTTCTCCTCGGCCTGATTCTTATATTTTGCAAGATCATTTTTGCGATGCGATCAGATTTCACATTTGGTCAACACAAACCTCACAGAAAAATGACCGCCAAGCAACTCGGGTGTTATACGATGCAGCTTTTTCTCCTCTCTTCAGCAGTTGTCTTTTAGTTCCGATTTATAGAGTCTCCGGGGATAAAATCATGAGAAATCATGTTTTTCAAGGAGCTCCAGGCTGTACTCGGAATTTTCGAATGTTGCTACTTTGAAGCGGTAAATGCACATTTGGTATGAAAGAATACTGCTAAATCATAATCTGCTTTCGGAAGTTTCGAGTTTTGAAAATTTAATGGTGTTTGATGTGCTTATGTCTGAAAGACAAGCCTGCAAAAATTCTGTGGTTTCAAAGAAAAATCTATAAAAAATTTGGTGCGAGCTTTCGAAAGAAGAAAAAAGTTGTGCTGTTTCCTGTAAGGTTTTCCCTATCCACCCAAAACTTGAACTCCGAGAATTATTACAAAAATTTTGAAAAATTACTTGACTATCCCAAAAAGTATGGGTGGCAGAACTTGATAATTTTTCGAAATATCATTGAATTTTATGCAATGAAATTATAAGCATTAGAAAGAGGATGAACTGCTGCATCGAATGCTTCCGAGATCTCCTAGGAATTTTGTTTCCGCGAAATGCGGCGTTTATGAAAAAAGCGACATTACTTTTAAAATGACCTAACAGAAGAATGATTTGCTGTGGTTTTGATATCTGTTGCTCGGCTGAGTACAACAAATCTTGTACAGCGTTTTAGCCAAAATTTTACGATCATTGATTCAAGTATTATTGGCTCGGTGAAAGCAAATGTAACTCTTGCGTGGATGTTTGATTCAATGATTTCATATAGGTAGCTGTCTGCCATCATACTCATGGACATAATGCTTGTATAGTTTTGAACAAAAATTACAAAGTATTTATTCGCTTTGCACTTCTGAATAACGCTCAGCGAAATGAAGGTATATTAATTGGGAACAGTGCAAATTTAGTAGCACTTATAAGCATCATTTTGGAGGGGCAAAATACGGATCATTATCATTCTTGTTGTCAGCCCAGGGATCACAGAATCCTGGAGGTGGTTTTCCAGGGGCTGGTGGTGGTGGTGGTGGTGGTGGTGGTGGTGGTGGCACGAATCCACCTGGTGGCGGTGGAGGGCCACCAGGGGCATTTGCAGACGGACGATATAAATTCGGATCCGCTTTTGGTACCTCCCATGGCTTTGCTGGATTTGCAAAATATTCGTTTTTGTCGTAGATATATCCTTTGCCTTCAGGACTAGATTGCTGAGGCTTTTGCCATGCTGGTTGAGCCCCGTAGGGTTGGTAGCCCTGTTGACCGTACTGTTGCTGTTGATACGGCGGGTAAGCGTATTGCTGCCCGTATGCCTGTTGTCCGTATTGCTGCTGTCCGTAAGGTTGTTGCCCA